AAAAATTTATTTTAGGCTTCAATACTTTAATATACTCATAATTAAAATATACCTAATGTTAAAAACTATAATTATTATTTTATAGATTTAAATTTATGGTGACAACGAGAAATTTAATTAATAAAAATCTGGCACACACCTACCATCCAAACTTTCTTGCACATTATTTATAAAATATATCTCTTTTTCAGAATGTATGAATTCAGTATATATACACAATACATCTATTTTTTTGAAAATCATACAGACTTTTTTTGTAAATCAATATACTAATGAGTAATATAGTATACGTCATATACCGAGTAATTCAACGCATGTCGTGTTCAATGTTCTCTCGTGTAATTGTAATTTATTTTATCTTTAAAGCTCAACTGAAACTGTACTAGTATCACCAGGTAAGTTGTTATAGAACTGAAAACCTATTTTAATATTGGATTAAACCATTGTCACTAATCATAATATATTACGGTCGAATGAGGTACTAACTTACTGACTGCATCATAGAACCATCCAAGTTGAAAAAACCCCACGCAGAAAAAGTTACTTTTGCATGAAGCAGATGTACAGAAAATTCCTTGAGCTTTGAAGAAAAGATTAGAAAATTATTTTAACTCGTTCAGAATCTGTACCTACCAAAATACGTACTTATTCACTTCCTTACCTCTTTTAAAATAACATTATTCAAGGTATTCCTAATTAAACGGTGTACAATGCTTCCAGTTCTATCTATCTACAGCAGAATTAATGCAAGACGTACATAATACCAAATTAGAAATCGATAAAAAAAAATTACAGCCAACTGATTCAATGGAATAAGAATTTACCTCTCGTATGATTTTCGTCACGTATCTCGAAAGAAATGTAGAAGAGTAAATGAAACTTGTAAGATAAAAGAAGTTATGGACATACTCTGCGACTGTAAAAATAGTTCTTCTTCCTATCAAGAGATGAACCAAAAAGTATGAGTATATAACTGCAGAAATAAACAAGGTGCCTATGCAGAACAAAACCGAAAATTCAAAGAATCCATTTACTTCTTGGCAAACTTCCAAAACAGAAGCATGCAAGTCCCGTATTGTTGACAACAGCCAAAGCTTTTTCACGTTTATTAACACTCCACCTCTAACTCCTATTTTAATTCCATTATCCACTGTAACTGTTTCGGTCAAGGTAAAAAGCACTTCGTTCAAGTTTTCAACCAAGTGAGAAATTACTATTAGTACCGATGTGTATTGGATGAGAAACAGAACTATTGTTAAATTCCTTGTTATACCACTGAATAAGTACAATAATTTATGATAGTAAAGTATACCCGTCACAAATAAAATTACATCAATGAGTGTAA